TGAGAATTTGGTGTAAGATCAAGATAAGTTTGAGTATTCTCATTACCTATTTTCTGAATAATGTAAGGATATAATTGGGAGAAGTTATAGGTCAATCACCCCTTTGTAAGTAATTACGTGATGCGCATAAAGATGCAATCAACAGGGTGGGGGAGGGGTGTTGTGAGAGTTCCATATAAAAGAGCAATGGGAGAGATTCTTGTTATCTTTAGAAGCTAAGGAAAGTGATTGATATCACTTGCATTGTTGTCTATAGAATGCTAATTTTGTTTTGTTTTGTTTTGTTTTTTTACGATGATTGGAATAATTAGAACTGTTGCCAAATAAAACCTGGTAAAAAACCTATGAGCTGCAAATCTACCCATTGTCTTCTTTTGTATGATGGTCTCATTTAATCATTTATCCTTTCAAAGTCATTTATTTAGAAGAAGAAAGAGAATAATGTTTTCGTACACCACGAATGCGACGGTAGTTGCTGGCGTTACTCTGGAAATCAACAACAAAATGAAATAAAATATCCAGGGATCGGGTTTACAGAGATGACGGCAAATCACATATCATCAAACCCAATTGTATCAACAAAATTATCCATTACATTTAAACTTACTTCAGGACACTGGGAATCAATCCTTTGTAAAATCCTCTCACTCCATCGTGCAAAAACGTTTGAGAAGAAAACCGCAGTGAGAAGAGACCTGACACATTGCAAAATGCCCAATAAGTTGGCTACAGTATCTCAGGAATAGCCAAAAAGATGCTTAAAATTGTCACTTAAATGTCTTCTAAGTTGTAGGCTATTGTTATCATAGAGGTGAATTGCCAATCAGGTGACATGTGTTGAAGGCCTAAATGTAATGAAATCCTAAATGTAAGAACATTTAGTGCTAACCGTAATAAGCCTCCGGTGCAATCGTTTAATTCCGCCAGCGCATTGTCGTAGCGGACATCCACGTTAAGATGTTAAAGTGACAGCTGTTACACCAAAAAATCCTCTGGTCAGTATTCATGTCACATTGCGGGCTCGCTGATATCAATCAGCGTCTTCTTATTTGCTAGAGTTAAGTCGAAAAGCATTGGTTGCAAACCGTTAAGCTGATGCTAATTGGCATCAAATGACAGCTGGCAAAACAATGAGTACTCTGACCAATACCTCTCTATATATTGCGGTCAGGTGACCGATTCTGAGAACACCTTCGAGACGTAGAAAGAATTGACAAGGACGCATCCAAGCCAATCGCTAGACACTTAAATCTTCCTTATCATTCTAAAAAGCATATGACAGTTTCGGTCACTTCCTTCTTTTGTTCAGTCGCATGTCACACATAAACTATGGTAATAAGATTGAAAAACCCCGCGAAAAAACAAGGAACCCGGAAAAAAATTAAAGCGAGGCTGTATTAGCATAAAATTTTATTATGTATTTAGATGATGGCCATTAATAGCTTTCAGGACCTGTCATTTCTCTCACTTAACTTAGCCAAGGTATCTTCGCAAGTTAACATCACCAAGTAAGCACATCACGGGATAGGTGTTGCATCTTAAAAGTAAGCCAATTTTCTTCAACCGAAGAGAACACTCCATGAATGAAAAACTACATTAAAGCTATTTGAAAAATACAAGTTCTTCCTTAAGAGTAAAGAAAAAAGGGGAAAAAAATGTCGGAACGAATTCTATGTGATAATCCCTCGCAACTGAAGAAAGCTTAACTTTAAAGCGATTAGTATTAGTTTAAAAATTTATAATCCTCGTAAAGGATTTGCTTTTCCCTTTTTTTCTGCTGACAGGTAACATGTTAAAAGTGACTTGATAATTCTAATTCTCCAACTAACAGAGCAAGAATTTCTTTTTTTAAATCGACGGATTAAGAACTTTACATCATTTTTTTCAAACAATCTGTTCAAAAAAAGATGTTCATTCACAGTGGAGATTCTCTTTATCAGATCTCGAATTTCACGTTTGCTATGCAGCATAATCGATGTGAATATAGCAATAGTATTCTCCTCAGTGACTAGAAAACCTTTAAATTTTGAAATATTGGCCAGAGAATGAAGACGTTCAAATGGCTTTTCTTTTGATCTACTTTTTACAACTTTGGACGACTTTCTTTGCGGCGCAAAGCTTTGAAACAGTTTTCTTTCTTTAATTTGGCACGAAAGAGAATTCGCCGACATGACAGTTTATAACCTGACTTAAAGTCATTGCGGGAAAAAACAAACAAACAAACAAACAAACAAAAAAACTCAACGTCATTTAACTAAACTCGCAAAGCCACAGAATTGAGAAAGGGAACGAAAACTGAAAAGTTTCTTTGATATCAGCGTAGATTTAGAAGGCCTATTTGGTGCACCGTTTTATTTTCTCGCTGAGTGGGAGTTGCTGTTTCACAGTATTTTTGTTTTCAGTCATTTGTGGCGGTGAAATATCGCTTTCCAAAATCAGACACTTTCACAACATGGCCAAAATTTATCACATACAACATTAAAAAAACACGATATTTCCACAGAGGCATTTTTTTTAAATATAGTAGCTACTAGCATGCTCCATAAAATATCACCTTTGATTGCCATCCATGGAAGACCTTTGCATTTGTTTTAATACGATGATGCAATTTATGGTCGAGTTCCACTTTGGTTCAAATTTCCCTCGACAGTTTTGAGATTTTGCGGTGCCTTGAAAGAGATCAAATGAAAAAAAATATGCTAAATGTCGTGCGGGAATTTGCTTTATTCTCTATGAGTAGAGAGCTGGAGCAGTCCTTAAGACTAACATCTACATTTAAAAAACGCAATTGATCGCGTTGATGTAAGTTTCGGCAAGAACGGAATCATGAGGTTCAAACTTTTCCCTCAAGTTTTGATAACGGAGTTGAATACAAATATATTTTTTGGGAAAAATAGTAAGAGGATAAAGTTCAAATTGCTTGACTGGTCTTACTTCTTTTCTACTTTGAGAAGTTGAATCTTCAAGACTAAATTATCTTCAAGCTGCACAGGTGTTCTCAGCCGGTTGGGATTTGCGTCCACGGGGTGTCCTGCAATAGAAACCCCATAGGGAGGTTTGGGAAATTTCCATTCTCCAAACTGATAAAAAATAAATGTCCTTAATCCATCAAAATTTCAAACTCGTAATTTTTTGGTTACGAAACTAACGTTAAAACAATTCTTTAAAGGACTTATTTCGGACTCAAGTTTCAATGCACAGGGGCTGTACTACTTGGCGACGATTTCGAAGCAAACGAAAATCAACAGCTGGAAGATTTGCCACAGTCCAATTTTTCCCGTGTACCTGAAAGATTTCTTTTGTCGGTATGGACCAATTCAATAACTGTGAATTTTGTATATTGAAAATTAGGCCCACTGTTTGCTTTTGTAGTGATTCAACGCATGTTTTCATCTTGAGTGCGTCATCGCACTTTACGACTCTTATTCAAGGATTGTCGAGGATTTATTCATTGATAAAGTCGACTTTTCTTGTCGGTAGAGGGCTATTGTATTTTTATAATAAACAAAAAAACACATGGTTGCTCGTAGATATGAAATTTCTCTTACTGTGTTCAACTCGACATCTCATCTCAGAAAATATCTTTCAAGAACAAGGCGAAAATTGGCCAGTGGCAAATCTTTTAGTTGTCGATTTTCGTTCTCAGCTGGATTGCAGCATTTGTAGAAAGGAAGGTGAAAAGTTACATGACTAAAGTTACAGTACTTTTGCCATTTTTATCTTATCAAAACCATGAAATTAAAGCTGTCATGATGTGCATAGTCGTTCTTAATTTTGGATGATGACGCAAACATGCATGTATTATCACCTTCCAATATAAAAAAAGAAAAAACACAATTTAATCCATGACGTTCAGGGATTCTTTTCATCCATGTTTTAAGAATGCAGAACTTCTTTTTGACGCCAGTAAATGCATGCGTTGTCAGTGTGATTCCATTTTGTTATTTTTCTGTCCAGCGAAGTGCGTGTGTTTCATTTCATCATATAAGGATTCCTCTAACGTTGTTTTTTATCTTAAGGCTGATGCAGATTCAACGAAAATCATCTGTGTTTTATTTATGTCCTAATAACGCTTTAGATACTCATACCATTTCGAGAAGTTGCAACATTTTAAAATAGATTCCAGTTTTTTTAAGGCTGTTACACTCAAACAGCGTATTTTTATTCTCAACGACAAATAGGAACAAGAAATTAATTATTAAGAGCATGAGAGATATTGACTATTGTGACAGCAACTACTTTCACAAGAAACAAGCGCCGATGACAGCATCGTTTTCAGAGGGTTTTTATTTCTCATCAAAAACTCTGGAGGAAGCGTGCTACATGCTATAAAAGGTAAGCCAGTTTCTTTAGACGTTAGCAAGTTAAAATCTGAATATGAGACATTTCATTTTTAAATGATTATTTGGAAATAGTATGATAGTTTTTCCTTTTTTAGAAAAAAAAAATATATATATATTTTCCGAAAAAAACTAAGATGATATGATCCCCCTCCTCTGACGTCTGAGGTCAGCGAAACTGCATTCCTTGCAGTTATGTAATAGGATAGGATGTAGGAATTACCATAATATCTCTAATTCTTTAACTAACAGTGAAAGGATCTTTTAAGTCGACGGATTCACGACGTGACCCTTTTCTCATCAAATCTCCAATTTTAAGTTTGCAATGCAGCAGATAACCTTTAAATGTTAAAATCTTGGGCAGAGAATGAGAAAAGTTAAAAATTTCCTGCCTCTTGTCGACTTTCTACAACTTTCTACGACTTCCTGCGGGACGCAAGATTTTGGAATAGTTTGCTTCTTTAATGTTGCGCAAGAGAGAATTCTTCCATGTGTCTCTTCTTAATTTAGTTTAATCATTGAGCGAAAGTGTCACATTCAACATTCATATCCTAACAGTGTGCACGAGGTTTGTCATGACATGTCTATCCGCAGTGATATTTTTTTTTATCTGCTGGTTGGCTAAGTAAGCCACACTTTACAGTTTCAGTATTTGTGGGAATGGCGTGGAATTCAAGATTCCTGATCTTCCTTGCCTTTTTGTATCTCATGAACTTCGCTATTGCTAAAAAGCAATGCAAGACAGAAGTTAGCATACCTGGTACGGCTCTCAAAGGACATGTCTTTAAGAAGGTCCCAGTAACAGCTCCTCATGTGTGCGATATCACCTGCGAGAGGGAAAAGATATGTCAAAGCTACAATTATGTAATTGGGGAAAAGTCCTGTGAATTAAACACCCGAACCAAGGAAGCAAGGCCCGAGAATTTCCAGCCAGATGATTTACGCTTTTACATGGGACGCGTTAGTGGTAGAAGTATGTATCCGGTTTAGTTTATTTTCTATACAAATCTTTCTCGATGAGTTCTTAGTGAAAAACCGCCACTTTCCTAGGGCAAGTGTCTAATTGCTTTGTTATTAAATAGAGCCAGTGTCTTAAAGCAAAATTCGCCCTCCACACTACATTAATATCAACTAAACTTCACAGATCTTGATTATTCTTATTTCAGGTTTATCGTCCCTGGACAAATACACTTTCCACTATAATGTGTTTTGCAATTTCTCTTACCCTTAAACTATTAATTAAGTAATGTTTATATCGTAGCCCCCTTAGGATCTATTCCTGAATTACCAGCGTTATCTTGCCAAGAGATAAAATTAAGTGAAGGTGAAGACAGTATCAGTAAAAAGTACTGGTTGGATCCAGCTAATGTCGAGAGTTCAAAGTTGGTTTATTGTGACATGATTTTGGGAGGTAAGTCAGTATCAAGAACAGAATTACTTTACACAGTGTTTGGTCTGCCTTTGCCCTTGCGTTTTTGTGAAATGTTATCACCTTATCTCAGTGTTCTCTCTCGATTGATTTCCAATTAGACATCGATGAATGCAAAGGCAGCAATAAAGTTTGTGACGAAAATGCAAACTGCTCCAATACTGTTGGGTTTTATAATTGCACCTGCAATGAAGGATTTACTGGGGATGGACATTCGTGCTCAGGTAAAATAGTTACAGACACGCCGAGGTACAGTATTTAACTCTTTTTCGCCTAAAAACCCTAAAGGTACATTTGAGCTATCTACAATCGATTAAGTGAATAATAGACCAATAATAGCTTGGATGCTATATCAGCGGACCCTTAGCATCAAACAAAGCCATTTTAGCAGGAACCATTGTCATACTAGTGCTAAGTTATGTTTTTTAAGCAGCATTACCCATACATGTTTATGCACGGAGTTGCCATGATATACATCCGGTTTGTTTTAGAGCCTTGATTTTAGGGAATTATACGACAACAACAAAAAAAAAAACATTGGAGAAGAGAATGCAAGACCTAGGTTGCATGTTTCAAAAATCTACTTCGTTAAAGACGAAAAAGTGAAAGCTTTTTCTTATTATCTGAAATGATTAAAGTAATTACAAATCGTTAGGTGACAAAAGTAAAGTGCAAAATGCATATACTGTTTCTCAGATATTGACGAGTGTAAAGGAAATCACTCCTGTCACGCGAATGCTACATGCATGAACAACCTTGGATCACATGTATGTCAATGTCGTGCTGGATATACTGGAAATGGACGAAACTGCACAGGTGAATTTAATTTGTTCGTTGCAATACTTAGAATAGTCCTGCATGATACGTTCGACTACAGCGACGCACCATTCAGCCGCGTTGCAAGACAATTAGGAAATTTATTACTCATAACTCGTTATGATTTAAGCAGCTGTTTCTCGTGTTAAGAACCTCCTATGTAATATCTCTTTTAAATGAATAATATTGGTGACTGATGCATCGTTATTCCCCTCTGAAATGAACCTTATCACGATGATTGACAGAGGCACGACAGTACAATCTCTCGTTTAGTTCTGAACCCTGTGTACAAGATGGATTTGTAAGTGATTTTCCATGGCGCTACGTTTTCGTTGACCCTTAATATATATTTGAGGGGCGAAGTTGAAAATTATTAGCAACAAGTTTTATAAAATAGTCAACATACTATGAGCGCCCTCATTGGTAAAAAACAACCGTTGATTGCACCGATAAACCCGTGAGAAATTAAATTTTATGTTATTAAAGTAACAGACCCCACTTTCTATCGGCTTACCAACGTAGCGAACGTCTCCAGATGTTGGGAAACCATTCGAAAAACATTCTCACAACATCCCACGTGGATTATCTCGGCTTTAGAGTGATAGAAAGAGCGATGAATATAGGGGGTAAGTCTCAAAAGAAACTGTAGTGCTGCGTCGGTCGGAGAGTATAACAGGGTAATTAAGTATTATCAACCGAGTTGATAACGTAAATTGGCCACCGTAAAGAGTTTTAAAGCTAACGCTCGAAACGTCAGCATTGTAACTCTTTGCGGTAACCAATTTACATTATTGACTCAGTTGATCAAAACAAATTATCTCACTAATAAGGTCTGTGGCAAATGCGAAAATTAAAAAAAAAAGGAAAAGGAAAAAACTTTTACAGAAATGAGATGTTGACTTCTGAAGGGGTTGTATATTTTTCTCTGACCTTAGCTGACCAAGTCTTCAACAACATTTTTTTCCTGTGTTTGTTCTCTCTCAGACGTTGACGAATGCAGCGAGGCCCATCCCTTTAAAATGAACAAATGCCATCCGAATGCATCTTGCACTAATACCCAGGGCTCATACAACTGTTCTTGCAATCCTACGTTTATTGGAGATGGTTTTGATTGTAAAGGTTAGTTTGGTTTTTGAAGACGATGAAATTTTTATTTTGTTTCCCGCGTTAAATGTAGCAGTAAATTGTTTAGAGTTTACTCTCATCCGACATTCACATCGAGGAGGCATAATATTACGCTCTCTTGAGCACAAGAACGAATCGACTTTTGATTATAAGTAGTAAGTTTCTGAAGAAACTGTGATGCTGCGTCGGCGAGAGAGTATAGAGCCACTGTAAAGGGTAAAAAAGCTAATGTACCAGCTTTTGATTATGTTTTAAATTATTTCAAAAGCTTAAACGAACTTTAATATGATGCAGACATGACACTCTCCGTGGAAATTCCCTTTAAGAATCTCTAACCTTACAAGATTCTCTTATAATAAGAGCAGTTATGATCAGTCAAACATATAGGACTTATGCAAGCCAATTCGCGTTATGATTGCAAATAATTAGATGATGCTAGTAGGCAGAGAGTTATTACACACTCCAGGGAAATAATTGGGTTACTAGCGAATACTTCTGCGTTGTGTGGGAGCTGAGGATCAAAGCTGAGGATTAAAGCTGAGGATCAAAAATGTCTTAAACGTATATGATAGCATCCAGTTGAAGTACAAACAACTCAGGCTTTGATGGGCGATAAAAGCAAGAGGAAACGTAATTCCTTAAGATGCTATCATTTCATTTTAGTTCCTTTGTGCGTCATCATTGTCCAACCCAAATTCTTCTGACCCAAATTCTTCAAAACCTGGGTGACGCTAATAGAAAGAGCAATTACGCTACACCACTGTTCTGTGACAACTTGCTCCTCGCGGATTTTTTTTTTTTCTGGGCGGGGGGGGGGGGGGGGGGAAGCAGGAACAAGCCAGTTATTTAGCCAGTTGTTTCAGGGTCGTCGGGTTGATTAATTGTAATATTCGTGATGAAATATACCTTTCAAATATCTAATTCGTGAAACGAAAAAAAAAGGAGGGCATTGGTTTTATTGTTTATAATTATTAAAGTAATTATACGACTGAGAGTCTACCCATTTTAAAGTGCAAATACAAAGTACATGATAAAGTACAAATACGTATACGGTTTCTCAGATATTGACGAATGTAAGGGAAATCACTCTTGTCACGTGAATGCTACCTGCAAGAACATCGACGGATCCTATGTTTGTGAATGTCAGCCTGAATTTAATGGAAAGGGTCAAAACTGCACAAGTGAATTTAATCTCTTTGCTATAACATTTGGAATATTTTAGCTCGAATCTAACCTGAAGCTGCTGAGGTGGCCACTGTCGGCCACATTATTAGTGTGACACATGTAAACGATACTGGTTGTACCTTACGTCTGCCTAGAGCTGTCCTTTAATACGCCGTCCGAAAAAGGAGGAGCTCAATTTCGGATTAAGCTGAATTCATTTGGATCTCCATTTTAGGTTCTTCGAGTGATGATATCCCACACATGTATCACTTGACCCCTTAGTTAATGCATAGTCAATTTTCTTTTAAATTTCACCGCTTTTTGGCAAGCAGCCAGAATTATATGACATAAAAAACAATCTTGAAACATTGATTTTAATAATATCAATCCTTTTGCAATTGTCGTTTCACTTTGCAGCTGATCCTTGCTATCATTATGAAAACCTGAGTGAAGCCGATAGAAAGATAAATTACAGTACACCTCACGGTTCAGAGTTATGTGACAGAAAACTCCTCGAGGGATGGTATCGTTTTGTGGGAGCTGCAGGAACAAAAATGCCAACAACGCGCGTGCCAGCAAACAGTTGTGGTACAAGCCGGTCAGGCTGGTTGAAAGGTGCTCATCCTACAGTGGAAGATGGTGAAGTTCAAAGGACGGTCTGCTTTAGTGATCGCTCTACTGGTTGCCAACAGTCAATAAATATTTTTGTAAAAAACTGTGGATCTTACTTCATCTACAAACTTTTCCCACCTCGTAGTTTTTTCTCACGCTACTGTGGTACAGACTGAATGTGAAGCAAATATACTTGGCGCGGTAAGAGGACTCAAAAATCGCTCCGTAGGTACATGTGTATAAGGTGTTTGTGTGACCTAGTTAACCTTTCTTCTCTATCGTAAACATTATCAGCAGATTTTAACTTTGGTGACAAACAGGTATTTATTTCATTAGAAGGATAATTCTCATCAGATAGATGACAACCTCTGTCATCGAAGAGAGTTGAAGGATCTTCAAGGTAATCTTCAAGTAAAATCTGCATGACACAAACTCTCAAGCTGATGGTTTTCGAGCCTTTTAATTGTGAATTTTTTTTTCTTTAGTACATATTTTTTAATCCATCTTTAGCTGTAATTATTAACCATGGTTATTTTAGCGTAGGTTGGCGGAATACAAGCAGGCGCTATCTTGCGATATCGACGTAGAAAAAAAAAAAAAAGGAAAGACAGTCAAAATCTAATGTCTTATGAAATTACACAAAGTTATCGTAATAATTGTGACTCAGTATTTTAACGTTAAACCAATTTCCAGACACACAGTAAGCAAAATTCAATGGTTCAGCCTGTCGAAACCGTGTGTCAAATGTGTCCGAATCGACCATTAATTCGTAATGGATCGCTTACATCTCAGACCGATTTTGAATCTAAGTTAAAGCTCTTTACGCAATGGCTTCAAAGTGTCCCTATACAGCTTATTTAACTAAGCGCACAGGCACTTCATTCATTCAAGATGAAATTCGTTAAAATAATTATTGCAGCAATTTGTATGGGTAATCAGGCGTTTCGAGTGCAATTTGGCAGAAATCAGTACGAGTAAATTTTCAAAAGCTAACTCAATTAAATAAGCCATTAGGGCGAGTACAACTTGCTTCTGTATGATTACGTTTAAAAACTGCATGTAGCTTTTAAAAGTTGACCTGTTTTTCTAAGTCTAATGTTTGCCTACAACAGAAACACGCAAAAAGAAAAATATTCGAAGCTGCGATGTGCTAAAAATAAGACTTAGAGTAGTATAGGTAAGTTGTTAGGTGTTGCAAAGAACTTTGTACACCGTTCAAGCACATTACCAACAATTTTTCACAGAAATGTCCGATTTGAAATCAAAATCACAGTTTCTCACTGTGAAATTTTCCTTATTTTATCCTGCAAAAATATTCAAAAGATCCTATGAAAAATAATAAGCGCAGGAAAGAAACCAACAAAGGCCAAAGGATTGCAGGGTAGATTTGATATTTCTTTTGTAAGATTAGTCTCCGAATCATTTGATGTTCATTTGTCTCTAATTTGCAAGAAGAGAGCTAAACACAAAGCAAATGGGGCAAAACAGGGCGAGTTTATTGACGACGTATCAAAATATAGAAAAATTGTTGGTGCTCTTTTCAAAGGAAAATGATATGAGCTGTATCAGGATGTAGCTCAGCTTCTTGAGAGGTGTAAATAGAAGGGTATCGTGCATGTTATCTCCTGATTTAACAAAAACTGTGTATCTCTTGATAAATATATTTAACTTGCATGGACTATTTTCAGCTGAGTCTCATAACACGAACACGACTGTAAATGTTAAGGGCTTTGTATTCCATGGGCCGGAGTAGGTTCTGTGATGAAAGATTTTGTGAAAGACTCACTCGATAGCAATCGCGAAAGAGTAACTTTCACTATTTTTTTGGTGGATTCAATAACAAATGGAGAAAGTTATTGAGAAAGATCGTAACGTAAGGAACAGAGAAAGGAATTTTTTTTTAGAACTGTCACAATTAATTTGATATTGAACATTTTTCTTGATTAAATTGCAAGTAATTTTCACAAGTAATGTTAGAATTCAATTGTCAATTATTATTAAGTAAACAGTGATGAAAAAAAAAAACTTGCACAAAGGTATTTCTCGTAGTTTCTGCCTTTTTTAGTGCTAAGGAATGTACATTAATTTGCTACCCAAAGAGGGGGTGGGGGAAGATAGGGGGAAGTTCTTAATTAAAGAACAATGAGAGAAATCATTGTTATCTTTAGGAACTAAGAATAGTTCTTCTTGCATTGTTGTGTATAAAATGCTCTAAGAAAAATTCATATTCATATTTCGCTAGTGAATGAGGTTCAAATAAAGCGTAAATGCTCTAGGCGGTTAACTTCACACGATTAACATATTTTTTTTCCGATTTTACGATATATGTGGAAACAGTCGGAACTGTTGCTGAATAAAGCCTGGTAATAAAACCACGAGCGGGAATTTTGCCCATAGTCTTTCATTGCTGGATTGCATTATTTATCCCGTCGATGTCATCTGTTCGGTAGTAGGAAGTGAATAACGTTTTCGTACACCACGAATGTGAGTGCACATGCTGGCGATTCTCTAAAAAAACTAAAATCAAACAAGAAAAATAAAGTAAAACCAACAATGAACGTGTTCAAACAGATTACGGTTTCTTAACATCTTCTACAACGCTCCTTAACTGGATTCCCAAAACTCAACAAAAAAAACAAACAAACAGAAAACCGCAAATACTTACAATAACACATCAGATGGAGCACAAGAATTGTAATAAGGACAAGTATCTTAATAACTTCACAGTATTCGATCATATAACTGACGAAAAAAACGTTATAACACCTTCCATATAAAACTAACTTCGAATTTTAATAGCCTCTTAATGATCTATCGCCTGTCTCGAACCTTTTCTTTACAAAGCGCCAACTAAAATTAAATATGAGATCCCACTAAGCCCTCTTGGCCAATTCTTGATTATATAAATAGAGAATAATACATGGGCGCGCGTAGATATGGAATTTCTCTGCGAGTGTTTAACTCGATAGCTCACGAGTGAGCGCAGCGAACGGGTGAGATGATGAGTTGAACACGAGAAGAGAAATTCCATATCTACAAGTAACCATTTATTATTTTGTTTATCATATAAACACAATGGCCCTTTACTCACAAGAAGCGCCGACTTCCTTAATGAATGAAAATAAATGAATCGACAATTCCCAAATAACAATCATGGAGTGCGTTGGCGCTAACTATAACTCTTTGGATAGAAAAATGCGTTGAATCACGATTTCAAAAACAACAATGTTTGTAATTTTCAATTTACAAAATTCCATTTATTGACTTTGTCCTTATCAACAGAAAAAGTCTTTCAGGTAAACGGCCAAAATCGGCCTGTAGCTAATCTTCCAGCTGTCGATTTTCATTCTCAGCCGCGAGAAATGCCAACACCAAAGCCGTAGCCTTCGGTTTCTCTTTGTGTATATTGGTTTTTTCCCCTTCTAGAAAAGTTTGAATCTAACCTTCTATCAGCGATACGAATTTTTTAGTGTTTTAGCCGCCACAATTCGAGGAGGTTCCGACAAGCTACCTTGTATTGAGAATCGTGAAGGCTTTGCCGCTCATTCATTAACCTGACCGAGTGGCGCCAAGGGCGAGTGACGTGTCAGCAGCTGATTCGCTATATCAACACAGGTGAAAAAATTTCGTATCGTGTTGTTACGGCTTTTCTCAGGGCCGACAAATCCTTGTTCAACCTCGCGGTTTATGTGATAAATCTTTTTAACAAATCCACTTGTATTATCAATTTTATCCTTAACATTCTGCCTTACCTGAGGACACTGGGAATCAATCCTTTGTAAAATCCTGTCACTCCTTCGTGCCTACGATTTTGAAAAGAACCTTTCGTGAGAGGAGAAAAGGAAAAGAAGAAAACACTTAATTCATGAAAATGTGGACTTGATAACTTAGCCGTAAATGGAAGTCAACCCAAAAACTGGATCCGGTCCTCAAACAAGCTGGTATCAGTTTTCCACCAATTTCGGTCCAGTTCTCTGTCAAATTGTTTCAAAAGGGCAATACTGTACCTCCATTTAATGTAGATGGATTTGAAACTAGAGATAGAAAGCTAGTCTGTAACGTATTAAAAAAAGTTAACTTCTCATATTAAGTTCCAACTGACCTGAAAGTCTCACTAATCACATCCAACACGCCGTTGTATTCCACCATCGTGTATTGATCCTTTAGAAAAGTAAAATTATTGAACAACAAATAACATAAGGAACCAGTAAAAATAGAGCGATTCACCAAAAAATATAATAAATTTAATTCCTTTATTGTACTACATTTTATTCTTTTTCTTTTTCTTGAGCCTAAGGTATTAAGGTACACATGGGGCGTTACACACCACTGGTGACTTTTTGGATTTGAGACCAATACCCTGCATACTTCACTACAAGTCCAACACACACACAGTCAAAATTATCTCAATTCAATATACCACCACCTTGACTCAAGTTCAATTCCCTCACAGTGAAATTGTGATTGAGAAAGGTATCAAACAATTAATTATGATCACAAACTAAAGAAATGATCACAAACTTGAAAGAGCTCTTGATTTTTAACTACATTCTCCTTGTAAAAGGCATGTTTGAAATTTATACTGATGTAAAGGTGTACATGGTTCACTTTTCTTTTCTCTCTCTTAGATAAAAGGTGTCATTCATCTTCGCAAACAAATATCTTACCAAACACTCATTTGTACTGTGGTATTTGTGTTCTAAGTAAGGTGACAGAGTACTAGAGACATGAGCGTGTTTTGACCACCCATATTAGGTTTGTTAGGTAACCTCGCCCAAACCACAAAAGTTGGATTCACCATTCTAATTAGCAAATAGATGGACCTTAATAGTTGGAAAGTAAGTCAACGTAATATAGATTGAAACTTTCCCAACATTATCTCAAAAATAATGCAACACAATGGGTTACTCGCAAAACATACAATTGTCTATTTGTTCAAAATTAATCAGCGCACTAGAAGGGCATCGAATGATTTAACGTCTGATAAAATCTCCAACTGTGAACAAATTAGTATGCTTCAAACTTCGATTCTCTTAACGGAGATAAATGCCATGTCTCAGACGCGTTTTTCGAAATATAATCACAATTCTTTTATTAATTTTTTTTTTGGAATATCTGTAGTACTTAACATTAGAAAAAAAACAAGATTATTAAGACTGCCCAAAAAAAGCTCGTCCATGGAAAAGCGCCAAAGTTTGTCCGAGAGGTTTGAAATTTCAGAATTTAGACCACCTGTGCATGGTGTAAAATTTAAATTCAAATAAAAGATTATTTAGGACTAGAAGTCATTAGGATCACTCAAGCTATTAGTAAACTCGCACAGCCACAGAATTTAGAAAAGGAAAGAAAACTGAACAGTTTCTTTGACATCAGCTTAGATTTAGAAGGCCTATTTGGTGGACTGCTTTATTTTCTCGCTGGTTAGAAGTGCTGTTTCGCAGTAATTTTTTTTTTTGTCAGTCATTTGTGGCAGTGAAATATCGCTTTCGAAAATTTCACGTTTTCAAAACACGGCCAAAATTTATCATATAGAACATGAAAAACCACGATATTTCCATAGTGGCATTTGTTTAAATACAATAGCTGCAAGGATTCTCTCTAAAATATCTTCTTCAATTGCCATCCATAGAAGGTCTGTGTATTTGTTTTAACACGATAATGATCGAATTCCACTTTGGTTCTTCTACTTTCCCTTCCGGTGTCAAATCAAAAGGAGCAAAAAAATTGAGCCAAATCTCGTGCGGGAAATTTTTTATTCTCTATGTATAGAGGGCTGGAGTAGTCTTTAAGACAAATATCAACTATAAAAAAAATAAATAAAAAAATAATTGATAGCATAAATCATAAGGTTCACTTTGGATAAATGATTCGGGACAACGTTTCTCCCAATTGTTGATAACTCAGTTAATGGAAAAAAAATTTTTGGAATAATTATCAAGAGAATAAAGTTCAAATTGCTTGACCGGTCGTACTTTTTTTCTGCTTTGAGAAGTGGAATATTCAGGACTTAATTGTCTTTAAGCCGCACAGGTGCGGCGGTTGTAATTTGCGTCCAAGTGGCGTCTTTCCTACAATAGAAACCTCACAAAAAATAAATGTCCTTAATGCATCAATTTTTGGTCACAGAACCATAATTAAAACAATTTTTTTTAAGGACTTATCTCGGACTCAAGTTCCAGTGCACAAAGGCTGTGCATACAGAAACGAAGCTACCTGACGACGATTTTGATGCAAACGAAAATCAAAGGTTGGAAGATTTGCCACGGTCCGTGTACCTGAAAGATTTCTTCTGTCGGTAAGGACCAATTCAATAACAGTGAATTTTTTTATATTGGAAATTAGGCCCACTGTTTGTTTTTGTAGTCATTCAAGGCATGTTTTCATCTTGAGTGCATCAACGCACTTTACGACTCTTATTCAAGGATTGTCGATCCTTTTATTTTCATTCATTAATAAAGGCGACTTTTCTTGTCAGTAAAGGGCTTTTGTGTTTATATGATAAACAAAAAACACATGGTTGCTTGTAGATATGAAATTTCTCTTATTGTGTTCAAGTTGTCCTGATGTGCATAGTTGTTATTGATTTTGGATGATGTCGCGAACATGCATGCATTATTACCTTCCAATATGAATGAAAGAAAAAACACAATTTAATAAAGACGTTCAGGGGTTCTTTTCATCCTTGTTTTAAGGATGCAGGACTTCTTTTTGACGCTAGTAAATGCATGCGTTGTCAGGGACAAAACAGTGTGATTCCATTTTGTTAGTTTCCTGCCCTACGAAGTGCGTGCGTCTCATTTCATCATATAAGGATTCCTCTAACGTTGTTTTTTGTCTTAAGGCTGATGAAAACTCTATGAAAATCATCTGTATTTTATTTATCCCCAAGTTTCGCTTTAGTAACTCATACCATTTCGAAAAGTTGCAACATTTTTTAATAGATTCCAGTTTCTTTTAAGGCTGTTACACTTAAACAGCGCATTTTTATTCTCAACGACAAATAGGAACAAGAAATTAATTATTAAGAGCATGAGAGATATTGACTACTGTGATAGCAACTACTGTCACAAGAAACAAGCGCCGATGACAGCATCGTTTTCAGAGGGCTTTTATTTCTCATTAAAAACTCTGGAGGAAGCGTTCTACATGCTATAAAAGGTAAGCCAGTTTCCTTAGACGTTAGCAAGTTAAAATCTGAGAATGAGACATTTTATTTTCAAATGATTATTTGGAAATAGTATGATATTTATTCCTTTCTGGAAAAAAACATTTCCTACAATACTAAGATGAGATGATCGCCCTCTCCCGAGGTCATTGAAACTGGTGTCCTTGCAGCTATGTAATGGGATAAGATGTTAAAAGTACTGTAATATATCTAGTTCTCTAACTAGTAGAGAAAGGATCTTTTAAACCGACGGATTCACGACGTGAGCGTTTTCTCACTTTTTTCGAGTAATTTGTTCAAAGAGGATATGTTAATTGATGATGAACACTGTCTTCATCAAATCTCCAATTTTAAGTTTGCGATGCAGCAGAAAACCTTTAAATGTTAAAATCTTGGGCAGAGAATGATAAAAGTTTAAATTTTTCTTTTTTTGTCGACTTTCTTCAACTTTTTATGACTTCCTGCGTGACGCAAGGTTTGGAACAGTTTACTCCTTTAATATTTCTTTAATGCTTGCTGCCTCTTGAACAAAGGAAACTTTATTATAATGCAATGGTCAAGCAGACAATGTTGTATGCCTCAGGCGTGTGGACATCCTGCTCTGTAGAAAATATTCGGAAAGTTTCAGGTTGCTGATACGAAAGCGAACAGCCTTCAACTTTTTAAAAAATTAAGTTGGGCCCCTTTTTATGATGAAAGGAAATTAAATAAGTCAATCTTGGTATATAAGCGAATTTCTGGCGATTGCCCATCCTGTATGACTCAGGTGCTAATAAGAAATGTAGATGTTAATGAACGAACGAGCAGACGTGGAAAATTTGAACCTTGTCTACCCCCAATTCAAACGGGAGTCAGTTCGATCCGGCTCTCAGACAAGCTGGGCTCAGGTCTCCGCCAATTTCGGTCCAGTTCTCTATCAAATTGTTTCAAACAGGCAATACATGTACCTTCCTTTTATGTAGATGGATTTGAGACTAGAAATGGAAAAAAAAAAATTAGTTCTCATATCAAGATCTAACTTACCTGAAAGTTTTACTGATCACATCCAACGCGCCTTTGTTTTCCACTATCGTGTACTGATTCTTCAGAAAAGTAAAATGAATGAACAATAAATAACAGCAGGAAACAGTAAATACAAAAAGATTCAACAAAAGAGACTTGCGTAGAGACAGCTCCAGATACATCCAATTGGTTTTGGCTAATTTCATGCGCACAGGGTCAAAACGTTCGCGCCATGCGTTCCCATAGCCTTCATGCTGCGCGAAAAATAACGATCGTAACCCTGGTCAAGTGAAAAAAAAAATGATACGAGCAAACTTCATGTTCCACCCAAATAGTAAACTCAGGTTAATCACTTTCTTTTAAATTGTAATAAAACCATGAGTTGCAAATCAGGCAAATCATAATTTACCCTTTGTTAAGTGTAAGATGCAAGATTCAGGATGAAGACAATAACATACATGATGCTTCTTAAGGTACATCTTGCAAGTTTCACCACAATATTCAGCATTTCCTCGAAAATTAATTTCATAATTCTTCATAGCATGTATTTACTTCGTTTCCAGGCGCCACTGATCGTTGGAAAATAAGTCTACACGAACTTTATTCCAACATTTTGGTCCATACATAATTGCTAAAAAAAAACAAACAAACAAACAAAAAACACGACTCAATTTATCGCCTGCCTAAATATAATATTCTCTACGACTTTGAAACGTCAATCGCTCTGACGAAGGGCTAAGGCTCGATACGTCAGCTTTTTCACTCTTTACGATGTCCAATTTACATTTTCAACTTAGTTGTTAACTCTAAATTACTTACTTATTATGTGACTGTATTATCGGAGTATGTTCATCTGCGTTTATAATGTTGATGTCTTAAACGCACTCAATTGATTATAGTTATGGAGCAATTGAAGTTAATGTTATAACAATTTGTGTGGCAAAATCCCTGGGTCTAATCTGTAGGTTAACACCGATAGAACCGTAACCTGCCAAAGCTAAAGTCTTTCCATGTAGCAAAACGGAAGACATCGAAAATGCGTTTATAAGCAGACATTAAAACGCGTGCCCATGTATTTTATTTGCTACAAAAACTTCATTAGGTCCGGACTGACAGTTATTAATTTTGTTAACATACCATTTTCAATACAGAAAGGTCGGTTTCTACTACTTAATCTACTATTGAATGCAGGTGGTCGACTAGAAATTTGTGGGATACTGAAAGCATCAATATTGAGCTTCCTTGTCTTGAGAAAGCATGGAATTTTCAGCGTTTCTAATATTGGCAGTCTGGACTACATCGATAACTTACTTGACGTCTGGTAAAGGTGAGTTGCAAACTACGAATTATTTTCTATCCCTATATTCATACTTCAGCGCGTGTTATCTTATTTCCCATCCATCTTTATTATCTATCTATTTTTTTATATATACATATATATACATATTTTTTTTTGCTGGTTCGCAACAGTTGATGTACTGAGCTCATAACATTTCGTTATGACAAAGCTAAAAACCTGAGCATGAACTCAACCAACATGATTTTTAAAGGATGGAACCGCAGTCTTATAAACTTGGTTTTTAGACTTTGAATGGTATTCAACAAAGGTGTTTTATTATAAGGGCCATATCGGAAATTTGCAAAAGTTTGTTGTTACAAAATATGCTAAGAACTGCTACGGTGAAAATTGCTTCATCCAAAACCATTTCAATCCTAATGCTTAGCTCATATTTACTCATATTGGACAGGTAATCGATATCATCAAAAACATTTCGTTGTTGTTTAGCAGACAGGAATTCGATAATTTGCATGGAAGAAAAATTGGCAGCTCTTTGCCGACATGAGCAAAGTTATTTTTTACTGGAGAAAAATGCTGGCATGTAAAACAGACCACGTTTTCTTGTTTTAAAAATTCGTTTAGGGTAGCCCGTCTCATAAGTTTTTAACCATTTTGCAGGATTGAAAAATAACCTGTGACGCAAAATCCTTTTTAAGTGTTTCTTTTTTAATTGGAGGTCTTAAATAAATTCCTTTATTGAGCAGAAGGTTTGTGCAATTTTGAAATTTTTTATACTTCCAAATTTAAAATTGATCTAAATTTATATTATTGATTGTTTTTAAAACTCTGATACTATGATCAATATTTTTCAACTGGAGAAAAGTTGTGTGGGGGAACATTATTCGCCATGAGAAAAAAATTGAATGAATAAAAACGATGAACAGATAAATGAGTTTTTTTAAGAAAACAAACGACGGAAGTAAATAGATGATTATATTCACCATAGTTAAGCAATTCTAACAACCTACGTTGGCTGGGGAAAGTAAAAATTTAAAAATATCATTCTAGATTTGTACGTTTCGAAAACTTTCGAAAACGAATATAAATCTGCTCTTTGACGCAAGACAAGAATGTTTCTTACGGCTTCAATTTGCATGAATTTCCTCTGTTCATGATAACTGTTCCAAGAAAAGAGCCACGCACCTGTTTATTTAAAGAAAAAAAAGCCCTCGAAGACCATTCCTGATCAAAGTTTTAGAAATATTTAAGGATCCCTATATGAGAATTCAAATTAAGTTCATTGCACTGATGACAACCGCATCAAAAAATGCAAACACCAATTAACTTCCTTAGTTATAATTTCACAGGCTATTTCATGAGTTCGCCTTTCCTATCGATATAATAAACTCAGGTAAAATTGGCGCAGCTTCTTGAATTGTCAAATTCATGTGAAACATTAAAAATTTTCCGTCAAGTTTCCGTACCTCAAAAACACTCAAATACTCAAATTAAGGTAGTTTTAAGTTATTATTTAAGTTGTAGAAAACGGCGAAGAAATTTACAAAGTTTTAAGACACATTTAAGGAATCATTTTTTTTTCTCATCAATTCTTTGTTTGACTTACGTTCTCGATGTATTTGCCCTAATAAATTGCTGAGTTCCGAGAATTTTTGCTCAGAGGTTTGTTCTTAGAACTTTTTTTTCGAAATGTCATTTTTTTTTCGACGAAAAGTATGTACTATAAACATATTTCAATTTGTCTATTTTAGAGCGAGAGCGCGCAATGGTGTTTCCGGACTACTACTTCTTTGCTGAAAGACGACTGGTAAACCATACTATCGAAACAAGAAAAGTCAAGAACTTTGATGATTGTGAGCTTTTGTGCTACCTGAACGACAATTGTGCCAGTCTTAACTTCAAAAAAGATCCTGACAATAATGAACCAGTTCACATCTGTGAACTAAATAACGCCACGCATCTGAAATATGACAGTGACTTGACAACTGATGGCAATTTTTATTATCGTGGCTCGAAGGTGAGTTATAAATCGATTTTTGGAAACTTTCGCCTTGGAATAATATAAAAACAATGAGGAATGTTCATGCAAATTTGTGTGTATTCGATCATTTGGTATTTTGTTTTAACAACAACACAACAGCAAAAATATCAGTTTTATTCACACTATTCAGGTACAACGAGAAGTAAAAAAATAAATAAATAAAAAAAATAAAAGAGGAAAAAAACTACAAGTAAAGAGAGGAACGATAGAAGGAAACAATAATTAAGAACAAACTAATTCACGAAGCAAGAAGTGTTTCTTCTTTCATTTAATCTTTTCATATTTCTTTCGTTATTTTTTTTTTCTCCTTCAGAACGCTTGTGACAAGAGTTTCCAGTGCCAAAATAACGCGACTTGCCAGTCTGGATTTACACTCAAGGGATATCGGTGCTTGTGTCCTCCTGGATTTAAGGGAGAACTTTGTGAAACGGGTACGAGTCTGAGTCAACACTTGAAATGACGTATATGTGAGACTTTTTCCTGATTTTCAATGCTGGTATGACAACTGTCCCTTAGCTGGTGAAAGTGGCGTGAATTTGTGTCATTGTATATTGAGCTGAATTTTTCCAAAAGAACATATCTTAGTATAGCTTAATGAACGTGTGTATTGTTTTCTTCGCTCGCTCGTTAGCAAAATGTTGAAAACAGTTATGGTTTGCACTCTTTAACACCGTAATTGCTTATGAGCGGCAATTTTTGCATAATTTTGATGGCCCATTTTTTGTTTTTTAAATTTGATTTAATAGACGTTGACGAATGTAAAGGAAACCACGCTTGTCACGAAAGTGCAAACTGCACCAACACCATTGGATCACACGTATGCGATTGTCAGCCTGGATATACTGGAAACGGACAAAATTGCACAGGTGGATTTTAAAAGATTTTTGTTTGAATAATAGAGAGGCCTTGACTGTGCTCTTTCCTGTTGTAAAGCACGCAGAAAGCGGCTAGAACAGAAAGAAGTGTAGAGAGAAACACGAGACGTAGTCGGGGAGGATATTTGTCTTTGCTCACTTTATTATCACGTGAATTACGGCGCTTGGCATGTTTAGAAACCTTAATTAGGATTTTCTGTTGCTACTTGCCGGCTCCCGTGTTCCGAAATTTCACTTTTAATTAACGAAAAAAAGGTAGAGAGAAGTCCGGGAAATGGTCGAAAATAGTACATTTTCTGAGAGGCTTGACAGCCTTAGCTCAGCACTAAGTTTTGTATTCTGATGAAGCAAGCTCTTTTAACCAATAGCAGCGTGCGTTATATCCGAACTTTATTGAAAAGCCCTTCCGAACCTGGCTGGAAAAGAGCAACTTGAACACCATAGTAATCGGCATTGCTAGAAAATACGATCTCTGATGAATTATTTTACACCGCCGTCAATTGTGTTACGGACCCCCTATAGTCGTGTTTCATTTTTGTAAATGAATATCTTTCATGCTTTTTGTATCTTTCTGCCCTTGGGTAGGCGTTGCAATGATAGCAGACGACTGTGTAAAACGAAATCGCAAGTTTTACTCTGAACCTTAGAGCTAGAAGGTGTAAAATTTCGTAAATGTGTTCAACAACAAAATGAAGATTAAATAAAGAGTCAAACATCTATGTATAAACAAAACGTTAACGATCGGAGGCGTAAAGACTACCTTATAGACTACCCAACGCGTTCGACTACAGCGCCGCACCATTCAGCCGCGTTAACTCATAACTCGGTTTAATTTATATAAGCAGCCGTTTCTCATGTTAAGGACCTTTTGGGTAATGTTCCCAACTTTGAATGAACGATTTCGGTGACTAATGCATTGTCATTCTGCTTTTAAATAGATCCTATAAAAATAATCGACAAAAGCATGGAAATAAAATCGCTCGTTTGGATATGAACCCTGTGCACAGGATGTGTGCACAGGATGGATGATAAAAATTTTAAAAAAAGAAAATAAAAAAGAAAATTAGAAAATTAAAATTAAAAAACTCTTAGAATCCCTAACTTTAAAAGATTCCCTTAATAATAGCAAATATGATAAATGAAACTCATTTGACTTATGCGAGCTTATTCGCGTTATGATAATGAATAATTTTAAAGTGAGAAACATGATAAAGAGCAAACGTATATATGGTTTCTCAGATATTGACGAATGTAAAGGAAATCACTCTTGTCACATGAATGCTACCTGCACAAACAAGAGCAAGCTCTTATTTTTTCACTCGAAGGGCGGCCGATGTAGTTTCTGAGGCTTGCTTTACTGTGATGATCGGAGATCGCCATGATGAGCGAGCCGCGATGAACTTCAGCATAATCATATTCGCGCAGACACCGTCATGATTAGTATGAATTTTAACAATTATGTCAGTTTGGTTATATTTTTCATCATTTCTGTTTTGTTCTGTTTTGTTTTTGAATACTGAACTTTATATACTATACGAGTGTTAGCTGTGTTTGATTTTTATTACCGTACGTAAGCTTGCTATCTAACTGAGCGTGAGAATCTTTAAAACTCGGAATGTTTACTTTGTTTTTCCTTTGAGGATTTTCGTATCTGCTCACGTTTTTATAACGTAATTATAAATTACGGCGCCTGATATGTTTACAAACCTTTGTTTGATTCTTCTGTTGCTACTTGCCGGCTCGCTTCAGTTCCGAAATTTCACTTTCAATTATCGGAGAAAAGCTAAAAAGAAGTCCCAGAAAAGGTCGAACATTGGCAGATTTCGTGACAGCTGTAGCTCACCTCTATGCTCTATACTCTCATAGAGCACGCTCTTTCAACCAATGACAGCGCGCGTTGTATCCGAACTTTATTACAATAAAGTAACAGACCGCACTTTCTATCGGTTTACCAGCGTAGTAAACGTCTTCAGATGTTGGGAAACCATTCGAAAAAAAAGTAGATCAATCGCCTCCAGCTCGTTCTCACAAAATCCAGCGTGGATTATATCGCCAGTAAATTGAGAGAAAGAGCGATAAATAAAGGTGGTAAGGTTCTACATAAACTGCGGTGCTGCGTCGGTGGGAGAGTACAACAGGGTAATATACTATTATCAACTTAGTTGATGAGGTAAATTGGCAACCGTAAAGAGTGTTACAGCGAATGCTCGAAACGTCAGCTTTTAAACTCTTTACAGAGGCCAATTTGCATTATCAACTCAGTTGATAAGGTAAGAAAAATAATGGGGAAGGAAAAAAATCTAAAAGAAATGGCAGGTTGAGTCCTGAAGGGATTGTATATTTTTCTCTGACCTTATCTGACCCTTTTCATAGAACGAAAGGAAACCTTTAGGAGGCAGAGAGAAATTACACACTCCTGGGAAATAATTGTGTTACTACCGAATACCTCGGGGCTGGCATCGTTGTGCGGGAGCTGAGAATCAAAAATGTCTTAAACGCATTTGGTAGCATATAGTAGAAGTACATACAACTCAGACTTAAATGGGAGATTAAAGCAAAAGGAAACATGACTCTTTGTAATGCTATCAGTGATTGAGGAAGGGCTAACGCTCGAAACGTCAGCTTTTTTACCCTTTACGGTGGCAAATTTACGTTTTCAACTCAGTTGTTAACACTAAATTACCTGCTATAATTATCAAAACCTGGGTGATGCCAATATTAAGAGTAGTTACGCTACACCGCAATTTGGTCCAGTGTTTTGTGACGACCTATCCCCCAAGGGATGGTACGTTTTGTGGGAGCAGCAGGAACAAGCCAGTTGTTTCAGAGCCGATAGCTTGATAAACTGAAATACTCGTGATAAAATATACGTTTCAAATATCTAATTCGTGGAACACAAAAAGAGAAAAAATTGTTTTATTATGTATGATTATCAAAGTAATCACTCGACTGAGAGTCCGCTCATTTTTAAAGTGACAAACATGATGAAGTGCAAATATATATGTGGTTTCCTCAGATATTGACGAATGTAAAGGAAATCACTCTTGTCACGTGAATGCTACCTGCACGAACACCAACGGATCCTATCTTTGTGAATGCCACCCTGGATTTAGTGGAAATGGTCAAAGCTGCACAGGTGAATTTAATCTCTTTGCTATAATATTTAGAATATTCCTGCTCGAATATAACCTGAAGCTGGTGGCCATATTATTAGTTTCTCATATGTAAACGATACCGGTTGTGCCCTAAGTCTGCCTACAGCTGTCCTTTAATGCATTGTCTGAAAAAGAAGGAGCTCAAATTCGGATCCTGATGAGTTTATCTGGATCTCCAATATCACTGTTTTAGTCTCAAAGCCTTAAAGTAGTTAAAGACATGCGAGTTACAATGTTTAATTCTTTTTCGCCTAAAAACACTGTAGGTACATTTAAGCAATTGCTATCTACAATCGAGTGAGGGAATAACAGACCAATAATAGCTTGCATGCTATATCTGTGGATCCATAGCATTAAATAAAGCAATTTTAGCAGGAACTATCGTCCTACCAGTGCTAAGTTTTGTTTTTTTAAGCAGCATTACCCATACATGCTTATGCACGGAGTTGCCATGATCTACTTCCGGTTTGTCTCAGAGCCTTGATGTTAGGAGATATAAAAAAGAACATTGGAAAGGAGAATATAACATCTAAGTTGCACGTTTCAAAAATCAAGCTCGTTAAAGACAAAGAAAGAGAAAGCTTTCTCTTATTATCTGAAATGATTAAAGTAATTACAAATCGTTAGACGACAAAAATAAAGTGCAAAATGTATTTACGGTTTCTCAGATATTAGAGTGGTTTAGCAAGAGGACGGGAACGTCATTTCAGAACAGGAAAGCGCGCGGATAATCTGGACACGACTCTATTTCGACTTCCGGTGTTAGCGTTGCCGTTCTCCCCATCAAGTTCAGGACGTCATTTCGCTGATTTCCCGTCGTGATCAAAACGCCTAGAATTTGCGTTAATTGTGCACTTATAAACGAGATAATGCTGTTTGGAATGATTTCAGAACTCATTTCCATATAACCAGGTTCCTTTCTTTGTTTTATTCGGTGAGTTTGTGAAAATTTACCGCCACATTAATTCTGGATTCCCGAAAGGAAACACGATCGTTAGCAAGCGATCTAAGATTTTAGGGCTTAGTTACCTTTTGTAATTGAGCGTGGCTTTAAGGAACGTCAGGGCTTTTCTTTGATACATTTCTTAAACCATATATGAAAACTCTAAGAACGGGTGCTGTTAATTTTATCGTGAATTAATTCATCAATAAATTAAACTTGCTTCATGTTGAAGTTTATCAAAATGAAACAACACGAAGGTTACCTGCCATATTATTCAGTATTATTTGTTGTCATTGTCGTTTTAACCGTGATTAAAAATTGTGCTGCGAATCGAAGTAAGAGATAAAAAAAATTTGAGAATAGCTCGGGCTGCACTTTTTTATGTCTTTAGTTTTGATCAGCGCCGGTGAAAACTTAGACAAGAAAGTCATCTACGAAAGAAAATAACAATCAACTTGATTTCGGCACGGTTTTCTAAATCTATTAATTTGATTCAGTCTTCAACGACTTTATTCGTTAAAAAAATTAAATAAAAAAAAAACAAAATAAAACAGGAACGAAGTCTGATTCCTCAGTCTAACCGTTTCGTTGGTGACTAGTTTGAGTGCATTTCATTCGTTCATGGTTAAACGGGAACTCATTGTAAACAACTCCATCGTTGGGTCGCTTGATCTCTACATGTTTCGCCATGACTCCTGCTTAAAAGAGGTGTACTGTCATGATTGAGAAGAATATTCAGTAAACAAGGGAAAAAACGGCGACGATTTCAATTCCAAATTATACTTTACAAAATTATGAAGAAAAACGAGTAGTGCTGAAATCTAGAAGCACGAAACGAAATGACAGCGATACAAATCGTAGAAAAAAAATATTTAGTGGGCTTCAAAATTTGACAGATGAATCTGCAGACTCGAGACTTAACTGAAATGAAATAATTTCAAAGTTTAATCGCCCATGTGGATTCATATTAACAACTCACTTGTAGTAAACTATCCTCGGTTTGTGCTTGTCGTTACACTCTCAAAGAGGATAATTTCGTTGTCCTTCAAGTGGTCTATGAAACCGAAAATTCAAGGCTGATAATGATCCGAAAGAGCCAAGGTTAGGATATTCAAGAACAAATATAACGTGGACGGTTCGTTGAAACGACTGCTAAGTCACTTTTCAACACAACGCGACGGTGTTCTCGACCCAGTTTTTTCTCGGCATTTTTGCTGCGCGCGCCGTTCTGAAATGACGTTCCCGTCCTCTTGCTAAACCACTCTATTAACGAGTGTAGAGGAAATCATTCCTATCACGTGAATGCTACATGCATGAATACCCTTGGATCACATGTATATGAATGTCACCCTGGATATGCTGGAAATGAACAAAACTGCACAGGCGAATTTAATCTCTTTCCGAAATATTTATGACATAATTGACTCCAGCGCCGCACCATTCATCGTAATATAAGCTTTCCGAAATATTCATGACATAATTGACTCCAGCGCCGCACCATTCAGCCGCGGTCACTCATAACTCGTAATATAAGCAGCGGTTTTTCATGAAGGCGATGAAATTTTTATTTTGTTTCCCGCGTTGAAAGTAGCAGTAAATTCCTACGAGTTGACTTTCCTCCGAAATTCACATCGAGGAAGCATAATTTTATGCTACCTTGTGCACAAAAACGAATCATTTTTTGATTATGTTTTAAATGATTTAACAACCTTACACGAACTTTTACATGATGCAGACATGAAACTCTCCGTGGAACTAAAAAACCTTCAAGAATCCCAAACCTTTAAAGATTCCCTAATAATAATAATAATAATAATAATAATAGCAGCTATGATCCTTATTTGACTTATGCAAACCGATGAATGAGTTGCCAGCAATCGGATCCTTGTGTTTTCGCAAAGATTTCTGGGAACGCAACGGGGTAAAAATTACAACTCTCTAGAAATAAATGTATGGCGAAAGGCTGTTTCGAGGTCCAAAGAAACGTTTACGAAGAGAGATCACCGCTTTTTTTTTGCCGCTGCTTTATCATAATTGGATTGGGTAATGTTGATTCAAGGGAAGCGTAAGTTTTGTTTGAACAACCATGAAATATGAAGTAAAATGAGCCGATTGACTTTTCACCATGCGCACGGTTTATTGTGAAATTGACATCGTGTTCTGGTCTCGAAATTTAGACATATTAGCCTTTTCAGTTTTGTTTACGTGTGTCAAGTCTACTTATAGCTTCTAGCTTTTTTCTTGGCTTGGTAATACAAAAGAGCGCTACAACGCTACCTTGAAGCAGCAGGAGATCGAAATGGTGTGCTTGGGCATTGAATAATATCGCGATACATATATGTTATTTGCCGGCTAAGGGTCGGTCCGTATGGTTAAAAAAACTGTGACCGAGGTCTTGAAAATGCTGGCCGAGGTCACAGTTTTTCACCATACGGACCGACCCTTAGCCGGTAAATAACATTTTTTTTTTTTTTAACTTAACGAAACACATTCTGAAAGAACCCGAATGATTTAGGGCTATAAATACGGCAAGATCTTCCATAAACTGAACAATTTCTGAGCGAGTAAATGGTAGTTAAAGTAAAGGTGATACAAATTAAGGAGAGATGCTGTTCTGAAACATTTTCACTTGCGTAAATAAAGGTGATTAAAAAGGCTTCCAAACAAAGTTTGAAACATTATTTTTACAAGTATCTGTCACAATCTGACACCTGTCAATTAGAGAGCGCGTAAGAAAAAAAAAGCGCAAGAAGATTTGAAAAACAACGGAACTAGTTTGGCAAGGACTGTCGCGACAATGTTTTCTTCAAAAACAATCAATGATATAACGGAAAGTATTATTCACTCTCATCGACGATTCATTCATGTACGAAGATTTACCTCTGTTCATTAAGTAAACGGCCAGGAAAGTAATTGTGAGTAAATTCAAATTTTTTATTTTGAAGTTGTGAGAGTTTGCTCGTTTGTTTGCTGCAACGGCGTATGTAAATCTGGTCTTTCCTCCACAAAAACGAAATTCGAACGGCACACTCCAACGAGACACAAGGGGATTTAACGCGGCCTTTTCTCAATAAATTCCTTCAGTTTCTGTTGTGCAATTTATGGTCCAAATGTCCAAATTGAACGGACTTTGAAAGACTCACCGAGAGCGTATATTTATTGTCGAACTGAAATTAAAACTTCGCTCGTTCTTTCACTACGAACAAATTGTTTGAGAAAATTCAGACATTAAATGAATGAAAGTTCCATTGTTCAGTTTACCTGTAACCAAATACCTCACGTTTTAACTTTCTATGTACTTTTTGTGAATGATTAAAATCAATTGCAGACGGTTTTTAGGCCGCTTGTCAACCAACGTAATGACACTATTGCCTATACAAATTCATTCTGAAACCAATATTTTTTTGTCAGTGATTTGAGAGAGAGAGAAAAGAGAGGATTCATAAGTCGGCTTGAGGTAGTGACCGATGTATTTGCTTAAAAATACTGCCCAGCGGGAAAAACGAGGTATATTTATGAAAAATGGCAACGAAATTTGAGCTGTACTCGGCGACTCACGAAAGCGTTACCGTGGCCCGTGGGCAGAGATAGGAAAATACTGACCGGGTAAAGAACCAATCAGATTGCAGGATTCGTTACCGTGCCCTCTAAAAAAAAAAGAAATTAAAGTAATTGCTTAGGAAATCTTTGTGCAAACGCAAGGATCCGATTACTGGCAACTCATTCATTCGCGTTATGATTATAAATAATTGGATGGTGCTAATAGACAGAGAGTCATTGCACACTCCTGGGACTTAATTGTGTTACTACCAAATACCTCTGGGCTGGTATCGTTGTTTGGGAACTGAAGATCAAAAATGTCTTAAACGCGTTTGGTAGCTTCCAGTTGAGGTACAAACAACTACAGGCTTTGATGGGCGATTAAAGCAAGAGTTCACATAACTCTATATAATGCTATCATTTCATTTTAGTTCCTATTTGCATCATCACTGTCCAATCCAAATTCTTCTTTAAATTTTACTTAACGCATAGTTGTTC